ATTCTACTTGGACGAGTACGCGTTTAAATAGTGTGCGTGCGCGCCTAGTACTGGCTGTCTATCTTGTCTATACTTGTAGTAACATTCGCGGCTACTCTTTCAACTCACTCACTTTTGCGACCTTCATATCGCAAAAACTTTGGCATTTATTGCCATTAGCCAGCTTTTTGGTCCACAGTTCGTCGTTAAACGTGCAATGGCAACATGGATAACGAGCAGCCTCATCAGGAATTAGTAAAGTGTGTTTTGGTCGGTGATACTGCCGTGGGGAAGACACGTTTAATTTGCGCACGCGCATGCAATAAGCATGTTTCGCTGTCACAGCTGCTATCGACACATGTGCCTACAGTGTGGGCCATCGATCAGTATCGAATCTATAAGGATGTAAGTACATAAATTCNTATTATTATTATAAATATATTTTTTATTAAACTTTTAGAATCGCGATTGTAACATGTATATATATAAGTAAAATAATTGAAATGTTGCTTTTCTTGATCAGGGGGAGATTCTGTAGCCAGTTAGCGACAATTTTCGGATCGCCACGATAACGATTCGAAAATTGTTGCTAACTGGTTACGGAATCTTAAAAATTTTTATTGGAGGTGTATTTTTATATATCCTATCCAAACCTGTGAAAAATGCAGTTTCAAAAAAATTGTTGGTTAGAGCCTTTGTAAATTAATTAATTTATTTAAATAACTACAATATAATAAAAAATAACTTATTTAAAAATTTTTTGAAACTGGGAACAATTATAATGCCACTCGAACCCATACCTGAATTCACTAGAATCCTCTAGAATAGGTTTTTGAAAGTGGTAACAGTTTTTATAGTCTATAAAAGGTTCAAAAAGTACATTTGTATAATTAAAATGTCTTCCAAATTACCAAATTATACGTGCACACATAGCGCCTGCGAACAGTTCGCCAAACTGAGAATAGTTGATCGTTACTAAGCATTTGGGAGAGTTATACAGACATTTAAAGTGTCGACTTCGATTCTGGGAACAGTTCATGTAGCTGGAAAAGTTTTTTTAGTCTAATTTCCTCTCACTGAATTTTTATAAAAATATAGTTGTTACTACAACAAAGAACATAAAAATAAAATCTCTAAACTTTATGCAAAAACTCAGGAAAATTCCATAAATTTGCATACTACTTTGTAACTTTCTAATCAGATTTTTTTAGAAATTCTATGTATGCAGTTTTATAGCCCATTAAAGTTTAATAAGACAAAGTGCAAGTTTGAAGTTGCTAAAAAATCGCATTGTTTTTTTTGCAATTAAATTAGAAAGTTGCACATTACTATGCTAATTTATTGAATTTTCCTGAGTTTTGCACAAATTATAATAAAAAAGTGTGCAGACATAGCGAACAATTCTCTGTATCAATACTTTTGCTGATCACTGTATGCATTTAAGCTTTAGAATTTTATTATGGGAATTCAATAAAATCAGTCTATATAATACACATGAACCCCATATTCCAATTTTTCTTAAGCCGCAGCCGCGGCGTTCTTCGCACTCTACTTTATGTTGACCGGAATCTTATACATATTTCCTAGTAAAGAGTACTAGGTCTGTTTTTCCCGTGTTTATGCTAAAAGGTCTAACTAGATTTAACAGTACTTGGGTCATGAGTGGGTTAAGTCTTGTATAGACACGCATAGGCTGTAAGTTTAGCATGACCTCCTTTCATTTTCTTGAGTATCTTGTTTTCCAGCGTGTCTCCAGGGTAATGGCGATAGTACGGCACTCCTTAACATTTTGTATGCGAATCTATTAACCTCTCAAGAGCCTTCATAGGAAGCGAACGGCTAATGGGGCAAGTGTCAGCTGATGGCTGCCTTTGGAAGGAAGGCTACCCGTGCCGTCGTCCATTACATTGGTACATGCATACATATCTTAGCCGGATGCAGTTGACAAATAATTTGCTCAGTCATGCGCTGGTCTTAGTATGTAAGCGAGCTTCTAGGAATGTCACCAGTAATTCATCGCCACTTTAAGTCCATTCGCCTGGGTCATACCACCCTTAGACAGTACCTTCCTCAGACGTAGCTCTCAATTATATTCAGAATTCCTAATTCTAAATGGTTCGAATATGGACGAATCCAATTGTATTGCTCTTTGCTTGACCAACGCTAGATAGGCAGGTGAAAAGAATAGTAGAATAATTTACTTTAGGCATAGGGAATTATGAAGGAGAAATATAGTATTTCAAAGAAAATCCTGGACAACGTTTTAAACACCGTTTGTGCTTCTATAGGTGCTTGAGCGCTCCTGGGAGGTAGTGGATGGCGTAAATGTCTCGTTACGACTCTGGGATACATTTGGTGATCATGACAAGGACCGAAGATTCGCTTATGGACGGTAAGTAGTTGACTAACAGGAAAAGAGTATTTTTTTTTTAATTTTGGCGCAATAAAAACTGTTCGCACACTTCACTTCATTTTCCCACTACAGGTCAGATGTCGTACTGCTATGCTTCTCCATTGCCAGCCCAATATCGTTGCGTAATTGTAAGGCTATGTGGTATCCGGAAATACGCCGTTTCTGTCCAGACGTACCCGTCATATTGGTAGGATGTAAAAATGATTTACGTTATATGTATCGCGATGAAACATATTTATCGTACTTTGGCGAGCGAAGCACCTTCGTGCGGTAAATTGATAAATATTTTATAGGAAATATTTTAACTAAACTATTTATTTACAATATCTTCGCAAACTTCTCGTTAACATATAACAGTGCTGCGCTGAAAAGTGACCTCGTCATGCCCGATGAGGCGCGTGCCGTTGCCAAGGAGCTGGGTGTAGCCTATTACGAGACCAGCGTCTTCACCTACTTCGGTGTGAATGAAGTATTCGAAAATGCCATACGTTCGGCGTTGATTGCGCGCCGACAGCAACGTTTCTGGATGACAAATTTGAAAAAAGTACAAAAACCGTTGCTGCAGGCACCATTCCGACCGCCCAAACCGCCACCACCAGAAGTCACCGTTGTGGTGGGCAATTACAGACAAGACATGTATAACATGTTAATTTCACAAACACACACGGATCTCATACTGGTGGTGGGTACGAGTAAATTTCCGGTACATCGGTTTATGTTGGCGGCTGCGTCGAACGTCTTCTATAGGCTATTGAATACGGAATTAACGGATATGGGTGGTAGGAGCAGTAGTGAATCGAGTATGGTGAGTGTAAAATAGTATTCTATTTTTATTTTTCTTTTTGAGAAGGAATAATTTGAGAAAACGGCAGTAGTTTTGTTTTGGTGTGAACAACAATTTTTTATTTTTTTTGCTTTACGCAACAACAGGAGCAGCTCGCAAATTAAATAGGCTTTATTTTTACTGCGAAAAACATGTTAAATACAGTATATGTGACACGTAAAGTGCACGCTCAGAAAAAAGATTTCGAGAAAAACGACTTTGAAGTTTACCAAGTTGATTTTGATGCTTCTGAACGTTTTAATCGATTGAAACTAGTTACTTGGTGGTTTTCGGGGTCGCTGATTACGAATCCGATGTTAGTTTTCCAAAATTCGCAATGGCGGATGACTTTTCTAAAAATTGATCAGAATCGCTTGAAACTCGTTACCCGGGGGTTTTAGGTGTCGCCGATTACGAATCCGATGTTCGTTTTTAAATTTTGAAAATTCGAAATGGCGGATCCTATATGGCGGAAAAAATTTAAAATTTGTTCGGATTCATGTGAAACTCAAAAATGTCGTTGACACCGAAAACGAGGTCAGTGATTACAAATCCGATGTTCGAAAACCCCCGAGTAACGAGTTTCAAGCGAATTTGATTAATTTCAGAATAGTTTGTCAGATTTGATTTTTTTGTACTTTTTTTGTGAGAGTACCTAACTTTGAAGTGAAATTGTGAAAAAACTAATGCAGCTAGAAAGCTTCGGTTTATTGCATTGGAAAGGGTGGCCCGTTTACTATAAAAGTCGATGAAAAAGTGAAAACCGATTTTTTCTGACCGTAGGTCCCTTTTAACTTTACGTGTCACGTATGGTATTGCTGAGTGAGGATGAAAGCAGTTCGAAAAATTAGGAATAGTTTACTTAGCGTTTGTACTAACATTGTGGTGTTCTGTTAGGGTGGGAACAGTTTATCCTGTGTGCTTAAGCATTTTTTATGGAATAATAGTTAATAAATACGTTGGTGTTTTGGAAGGAGCAGTTTGTAGACTGGGAACAGTTCCAAGACTAGGAACAGTTAAATCGAAATACTCGGATTTCTATTATTTGATGTTTCTACATACTTAATGAAAATAATAACAAATTTATTCCTACAGGTGAGTTCTACCTTTGGCGAAGCTACCACAGCGGATTTCAATGATGATACTGAGTGCTTGATAAGGCATGAATCGCGAACACAGAGGTAAGAGTATTGTGGTAACCAAATAATTGAGTTCTGAGAATGTACTAAAAGCCAGGGACGTAGACTGGTTTTGATCCGAACCGGTTTTGAGCCGACTTAACCGCTATTTTCGACTAATTAACGACCGGAACGGAAATTTTCCACAAATGTTTGATCCAAACCGAAAACCAAACCATTTTTTATATGAAGTTCATTCGCCCAATTTTTAATAGACAACTTTTTCCCCACTTCTTTAGTTTGTGCTCTTGTTAAATATGAAGATATTCGATTATTCAATCTAAACTCAAATTTTTTGATCAAAAACGATATTTTTATTGCTTACAGCGAATGACATAGACAATTCTGTATGAACATGTCTTTGTGTATATGTTATTGGATTCTTACTAAATAAAATTAACACAAGTCTACATGAGGTTTTTTTTTCGATCCCAGAATCAAAGACTAAACATCTCTTTTTACGAGCCAATTCAAAGGCGCGAAATCGAGTGGAACTGTTGAAGTGAATTGAACAAATTTTTATCCAGTTTACGTTCCTATTAAAAGCTTTTTATCTCTTCTCGCCAAAGAATGTGGGAACAGCTGAAGCGTCGCTCAAGCTATCAGGCCTTACCGCTAATCGAAACCAAAAGGCCCAGTGATCTCTATAAGGACCTGCACCACCCCATTTTCCAAAATATACGCTTAATACAGATGGAAAATACGCGTGGCATTAATGTAACACAAACAATTGTCACATTAACCAAGCTGATAACACCGCCAGCGCTGCAACAGTGTCTGCAATTCGTCTATACCGGCACAATTGAAAGGGAATTTCACAATTTGCAGGTGTGTGTACATACGTACATATATGGCGAGCATGAATGAATAATTGTTGTTGTTTTTGTTGTTGTTGTTGTCGAACTTAATTATTTTCCATTTATGCTTTGCAGGAAATTAAACAAGCTGCTGATTTCTTAGAACTGCCTCAATTGACTTTATTACTTTCCAAGCCACAAACACTTTTAGCCAGTCTAAACGATGAACCCAATCAACATTTATGCTTTGTATGTGTACATATGTATTTGAAGCGCTTTTATGTCGATAAAATATCAAACTGTTCTCTTTTTATTAATGTAATTAGAGCATTAAAGAGAACATGGAGAAACATTGCATTGGCGATGGTTGTTTCAGCGATGTCACTTTCGAGTTGGACGATGGTCAAATGAAGGCACATCGCGCCATTTTAGTTGCACGCTGTGATGTTATGCGCGCCATGTTGGCTGGCGACTTTCGTGAGGCGCACTCAAGTGTGGTGAGTATGGGTGATGTAAAAAAAAAAAAAAAAAAACACATCAAAAGAAGTTGAAGGTAAAAAAATATTAATTATCCTTTTTCCAGATCGTCTTTCCCGGTGTCACGATTTATACATTTCATAAGTTGCTCTGCTATTTGTACACAGATGAAATACCTCCAATTTCCGCAGATAAATGCTTAAATCTTCTAGAATTGGCTAATCGTTTATGTTTGCCACGGCTATTGAATTTAGTGGAATGTCGTGTAATTGAAGACTTAACAATGATTTCGCAGAATGAAACAAATGAAACGGTCGATCATTGTCTAAAGCTGCTGGAGCCAGTGAAGGTGAGAAGAAAAACTAAGATTGAGTTAGGATTTGATTTTGAATTACTCAGTAGAACAGCTACATATTAATGGCCTCATTAAAGAAATGTGGCCACGTTGCTACATTTTAATGTGTAGTAGGCAACGGCTACAACTTCATTACAAATACTTTCACAACGCGAAAATTTGTCCACAAAGACTAAAATTAAACGAGCAGTTTTTGCGTAGAAAAACAGCAGAATAGAGCGGCGAAAAGTTCTTCGTTTACAATATCTGACCAAACGATATGTTTTAGAGATTCCGCCTCCTGAACTACATAGCTGTATACATGTATGTATAATTAGTTTCTTACAAGATATAAGTTTGGTAATTTGTTGAAGAATTTGGTAATTCTTTTTTTTTTTTGGGGATTCAATAACGTACATTTTTTTTTCAAATCCTTTTTTGATATCAAAACGAAAGCCTACTTCTAATAATCACGATTTCACTGTGGATGATTTAAAACTGTAAAAAGTAGAAAATGATGTGCAACATCTTAACTGACTAAATTCTAGTGGAAGTGGTTTAAATAAATTATAATTTTTTAGTTGTCTTATGATACAGTTGGGTATTCTTTTTGTAAGAAACCCATATTTTGTAGAAATCTTTTATTTGCATAAATTTAAATAAGAACATGATATTTGTATAGAAAAATCAAATAAAGGGAATATATAGCTATTAAAAATTATATCATTCTTGAGCTCAAAGACCTCAAATTTACTCACAAAATTCGCCCAAAAGCTATATTTTTGCCCACTATTTATTTGGGATCAAAGCACTGTGCATCCAAAGATGAAGCTCAATAATGCCCATTGAAAGGGTAATTAGAGGGTTAAATGTTCTACAAAAAAAAAAAAATCGAGAATAAAATTTTCCTAGAGCCCATTGAGGGTGAAAAAATCCAGTGGTTAAGGCTGAACCCACACCGAAGACGACAAAACTTTTTTTTTTTGACGACCGACAAGAAAACATTTTTTTCTATCCCATTTTTGTCGTGTTACGATCAACGTGTAATTGACAACTCAGCGCGTCTTTGTAAACAAACGATTCAAAATTCATACACTTCAATTTGACTTAATAGGATGGTTCTTATGAGAGCAATGTCAAATTCAATCACACTTTGTTAAATACATTTTGGTTACGACTCATTTGGTATGGATTGAATAATAAGAAGTTGGTAATACACTCTTGCTCTATACGCCACCACCAAACGTTTTGTCGTCTTCGGTGTGGATTCAGCCTAAAAGTGACTACGCCACATAGCTTTATCGAAATTTTTCTTATTGACATTTTCTAACTTTGCACTCTCCTCCCTTCCCGTTTATTAGCTACACAACGCTCACCAATTGGCCGAATGGTGTATGTCATATCTGTGTGTCAATTACAATATTATTTGTAAATTCTCGCTCAAAGGCCTCAAAGCACTGCATCAGGATAATCAAGAATACCTGCGTGAACATCGTTGGCCACCAGTGTGGTATTTAAAGGATTATGATTACTATCAACGCTGCATAAATGAAATGAATAAAGAGCTAAAGAATTCACGGCGCGATTCGCGTAGTGATGATGAAGGTTGCCTCTGCTTTACTGGGGGTAAGTGTTCAAGCAATGTTTCAGACAACAACAATTTTACTTGACTGAGCAATTAACAAACGACGACAACGTCGACGACGACAACAACAACTGGAAATTGACTTTTGGCAAACAACTAAAGTGAAATGCTGTGTCAGTAAAAAGTGTGCAGAATTAAAAAAAAACAACATATAACAAGTAATTTTTAAGTAAAAATACAGCCGACTTCAATGCTCATGTAAAAACAAATTTCTTCATGACACAAGGATCGGAACTAAACCAAATCATTATGGGGCCATCCTTGAGGTACTATCTTTCCGTAAAAAAAAAAAAATAATCGAAAACGGTTCACGTGGTCCAAAGTTATCCGGTAACATACATAAAAAATATACAAATATTCCGACGAATTGATAACTTCTTCTTCCTTCTTTTTTCGAAGTCGGTTAAAAAGTATTAAATTTTTTAAATATATATACATATGCACATATGTGTTTTTAGCAGTGATTTACGTCTGTATATATGTATATATAACAGGCTTTCAACAAGCGCGCACAATAGTTTTAATNCGACTTCAATGCTCATGTAAAAACAAATTTCTTCATGACACAAGGATCGGAACTAAACCAAATTATTATGGGACCATCCTTGAGGTAACATCTTTCCGTAAAAAAAAAACTAATCGAAAACGGTTCAAGTGGTCCAAAGTTATCCGGTAACATACATAAAAAAAATATAAAAATATTCCGACGAATTGATAGCCCTCCTCCTTCTTTTTTTGAAGTCGGTTAAAAAGTATTAAACTTTTTAAATATATATACATATGCACATATGTGTTTTTAGCAGTGATTTA